TTCGCACCTCCCTCTTGCATGCTGGGGAGCGAGAACGCAAGCAAGAGACGCAGTTCCCCGTCGGGGTTGCAGACGTGAGCGTGGCTGGTTCTCCATCCCCTTCGCCTCCTGGCTGCTTTGCCTGCGCACGCTGCTTTGCAGCAGACGGCCAGCGACAGGCGTCCCCGCATCTACTGCTACAGGTGCAGGCAGACTTCTCCTTGCTAAGAGGGAAAACTGAGGCTCAGGAAAAGGGTCAGCGGGGCAAAAGAAGCCCGCACAAGGTGAGCCCCAGAGCCCAGTGCCCCAGCCAGCCCTGAGACCGCAGACCATGCCAGCGTGCTGCGTGGGGGCTGCTCTGCCAACACCGGGAGACCGGGCACGAGCAGGGACAGGGTTACAGGAGGGCTCGGTGCAGCTGCCTCTGCAGGATGCGGCCACGGCGCAGTCCCGCCAGTTGCTTGCAGCGGGAAGCTCTGGGAGGGAAAAGCCACACAGGCACAGCAGTCACTGCCAGGAGCGCCAGAAAAGCTGCTGGAGGGAAGAGAGGTGCCAGCCAGGACAGCCACCCCCCCCAGCAGGCTGCCACCACATTGGGGAGGGCAACTGCGGCCGTTTCCTGATGTTCACCGATGATCTAACAGCAAAGAACAGGTCAAACTCGCAAGCCAAAAAAAAAATTTAGATTTTTTACACCTGTTCAAGCAGTTTTTGCAAGACCAGAGAACGAACGAGGACACCACAGCCACGCTGTGCTGTCAGCAGCCAGGGCTGGTGGATCTGGCAGACCCCACCACCCTGGGCAAGAAGCTCTGCAATCTGGCAAAACGCAGCAGCACCAAGCCCAGCTGGTTGCGGCAGCGTGCTGAGGGAAGCTGGGGGCAAAGTGCTGCATAAGCACATGCCAGCAGCCAGCCCACGCGCTGCTCCCCACTTAAACCACAGGTCACAAAACAGCAAGCAGAGTTATGCTTCAGGTTGTTTTTTTAGTTTTATTTCAGCAGTATTGGCTGAATGAAGAGAGGAAAGAAGGAGGAATGATGGGGAACATCTGAGGGATGGAGAAGGAGTAGGGAGAGGGGCTGGAGTGGAACAGAGAAAGAAATTGCACTGGGTGAGCTGCACAAGGCTGACAGCAATGAAGGGGACCTTGCTTTGGCAGCTCCTGGAGATGTTCCCCCACGGCTGCCAGCTGCTTCCTTTGTAGCCGCTCCTTTTTTCCTCCATCAGGTGAGGAAATGGTCCTTAAACCCGGCTGGTCACTGAGCAGCGGCTCCACATGGTCCCAGCTGGACCCCATTTTGTTCCCCTCCTCACCATCACTGTCAACTGCTGCAACCTGCCCTCCGGCCAGTCTCTCTCCAGCTTGGCTGGCAATTTTTCCTGCCCAGGACCAGCAGAGGAATGCAGACCTGTGGGTGTGGAAGAGGCATCTCACAGTGGTCATGGGACAGCAGAGTCAGTCCTGCTGCATCTGACAACCACCACAAAACCCACCACCACTTGGGATCTATTCTACATTACTTTGTTCTCCAGGCAGAGGCTCTTCCAGAAGCACATGAGGCAAAGGGAGAACTGGGATCCCCTCTCAGCCTGTGCAGTGAAGCCGAAGCAGGAGGAAGCATCATCACCCTCAGGCGTTGTGGGAATGGCTCCTGCTGCTGCAGGGTAAGATTTTAAGCAATCCGTGTGGTTTCAGAGGCACCACTTGATTCAATCTTTCCAAACTGGGACCAGAGTCTGGGTTCTTTTCAGCAGATCCCTTGGCCGAACCAACACTCCCATCATTGAGAAGGGTTTCAAAGTCGAGGACCCCAAGACCAAGCACTCCCTGGAACAAACCTTCCAATTTCTATCTAGATGCCTCCATTGGAGCAGCACGTGGATCCTGCGTGGGACCAACTGCCGATGCTCTCTCCTCCTCCTCTCGTGAGGAACTGCCAACTGCTTGGCTTTGTGATTCCCTCCTAAGACCTCCAGCAGGCACAGGTTCTGCCTGGGGCTTATTTTCCCTGAGGATTTTTTGAGGAGAAATTGGCACCAAGGGTTGCATTAGCTGGAGCACTGCCCTTGCCTTCAGCAAGGTGGGATTTGTGGAGTGGACTCCAGTGAGCTCGGCCACTGACAGGACAAGGACCGCTGGCACAGCACTGAGATGGGAAAGGATTCCATCCTGCTCAGCTGCTAAAGCTCTCCATCCATCCCGGGCACTTGAATTGCAGAGGCACTCGCAGGCTCTGGCTTCCCTGTGCCGAGATGTGTGCTGGCTGGGGAGCCCCGCTCAGCTCCTGCGGCCTCTCAGAGCCCACTTCCTCTGCGAGAAAACAGCATGTGCCGTGCTGGCCTCATCACGTGTGCCGGGGAACACTCGGGTAAAAAACCAGCAGCAGCCGCAAAGTTGCAGCTGTGCAAAGACTGTGCACTCAAGAGCGAGCAGCGCATACCCAGTGCTGAGCAGCGGGGCTCGTCAGACTGGAGCGGTAATGGCTCATCAACCCGGCGTGAGCTGCCAAAGGCACCGGCGCTGCCCAGAGACACAGCAGCTCCCTCCCGAAGAGCTGCCCAGGTTGCGCGGTGCACCAAGGCCTCCCCGGGCAGCATGGCATTGAGAGCTGCTAAATCAACCGATTTGTTAACTCGGCTCCCGGACTCGTGAGAGACCTGGGCATTGTTAAAACAAGACTTGACACCCGTGTTTACAAACACTTTCCCTGTACTCTGGGACTGGGAAGTTGTGCTTTAGTAGCCAAGCTGTAATTAAAAACAAAGCAGGTGCATGAAAACAAAACTCAAGTGAGATTTTGCCTACGCAGATGAGAAAGCTCTAGAAGCTTCAGTAAAAGCACAGCTGGGAGTAGCCAGTTCCCAGGGCTGCAGGCAACCACCCAACATCTCTGGAAGCAAAACGTCCCTCCCTGGTTTTAAGAGAGTAGTGACCATTTAAATATTAGCACAAGCACTTCCTGATGGGCGCTTTTCCAGGGGATCCAGCCAGGACAGCTCTTCCAGCCTCACAGAGATGCTCCTTCCCATTTTGGATAACTTAATGCCAACAGGCAGCATTGGGGACACAACAGCTGGCACGCTTATTTTTTTTCTCCTGACCTTATATACCCTTCACTACAGAAAGCACCGGCACTCTGCCCTGGACCTCAGGAGCAGTTCCACTGCAGCAGACAACGTTCTGGACAGAAAAACCCACCCTGCTGACCCCACAGAACCTCTCTCACCTGCGAAGGCTGAAGCTCCAGTGCGAGCCGCCCTAAGATACAGCATTTTCCCCCTGAGTCATGCAGACCAGCCAGGACCCAGGCTCAGCTGCGGTTGCTGAGCCCTCTCATGTCACTGGCTGCTTTCTTTGTGTGTTGCTTTTCAGAGCCAGGTGCCATCCCAGGGAAGCAGGCCTTGGCAGCACCCCGGGTGGCTACAGCAGGAGGGATGCTGCACCCTCCGGTCGCTGTCCCTGGGGACTGGGCAACCAGTGGGTGCCCTCTAGTGGCTCCAGCACCCAGGGGATCGGCTGGGGAGATCCCCAGAGACCCAGTGTCTCCCTCCAGACAGGTGGCTGCTCCCCTTGTCTCAACCATCAACCCAGCAGGGGAGAGACGGAAGGCAAAGGGAAGGCAATAGGGTAAAGCCAGCCGCTGCCCTAGCCCTTCAACCGGTGAAAACATGGGCTCTGGGGGTGAAACAGCACGTTCCCCTTCTCCAGCCTGTCGGCTCTCAAGCACAGAGCAAAAACAACAACAGGAAAGTCAGGTTCCTGCCACGGCAGAGGGGAGAGGAGTTTCCTTGTGCCAGCGCTGGCCTCGCACCGAGCCTGCCAGCTGCCCTCCTCGGCCCGGGGAGCAAGAGCAGGCAGCTCCCCCAGCACACTCACAGCTGTACGCCGCAGCTCTCCCGAGGCCCCAACCCTTCTCACGCAGTCCACTAATATTCAAAACACACACTCTGGTTTTATCTCGCAACCGTTCATAAAATGCCTAATACAGCCATCTTCCCAGCAAGCCAGGGCTTTCAGCTCCGTCCTTCTGGGTCTAAGCAGTCAGGAGCCGGCAGATCCAGAGCACAACTGCAAAATGCAGGAATGCCAGCGGGGAGCTTACAGCAGTCTACCAAAGCCAGAGGTGTTTCAAAATGTTTTGGCTTCTTTCCTGCCATGCTCACCAATTTGCAAGGAAGTTACACAAGAACTTCAAGGTCTATGCAGCAACTGGCCAGGCCTTCATCCTCACAGTGTTTACCACAAGGTGAGGGCACACACTGCCCCCAGAGCTGTTATCTTCTGCCCCTCACTGCTGCTTGCTTCTTTTATCGCAGCAGGAGCAACGCCTTACTGCCAAAAACAACATTGCAGAACATCAAAACTTCAAACTCCCAAATGCTCAGAAAATGACTGCTGAAGGGTCAGTGTGCCTATTTCAGCCTTTCCTCTGTTTGCTTTCTGCAACACCCTGGTTCCCATCCCAAACAGGGTCAGAAAGCTCAGATACCTGCTCTAAAAGAACTGCTACATAGCACCTGCTAGTTTGACACTGGTGGGGAACCACTGCTTGCACCACTGCAGTTACAAGGGTTCAAACTTAAAATACTTAGGATATCTTTTCTCCTTCCTGGGAAACACCGATAACTGCAGAATCCCTGGTCAGTAATGAGAGCACACCATAACATGCTGCACCATCTGATGGTCCCCAGTGCTATGGGGAGTTGCTATATCCACTGGTATAAATTTGGCTCCAGGTAAAAAAACCTTTAAGAAATTGCTCAAGATTTTCTGCATTTGGATGATGCTGGTAGTTAAGACTCATCCTTCTCACAGGCTTTCAGCTCTTTTGTCTTATGTTATTTTAGCACCGTGTTAAGTGCTTCCTCCCACCCCCTTTAAATCTTTTGAGTCACAAGCCTGTCTGGTGTTTGAAGATACAAGCAAGTTCCACTGTAATAGGGCTCCTCACCCTATGCCTGACAGGTAGGGATTTTTTAAAATTGTCTTTAAAAAAGCATCAGTATCTTCCTTTTTTTTAAATCAAGTTCCAACTCAGAGCAAATTCTCACATCAGAGAGCAAGAGAGCACTGTATTCCTACTGGAATAGTTGGCACAATTCTGCTTTAAATTAATGCTAAGAGCACTAGTTTAAGCCCAATTCTTTGCTGAAAGCTCCCTGCTCCATCAGATGGTTGGAAAGAGGTTACACCACAAGTGAAGTGGTCTTAGTTAATAATCAGAAAAGTGTTACTATGCAAAAGCAGTTAGGAATAAAAGCTACCATCTCATCTCTTCCCAGAAAGCCACCAGCTGCTGTAAGCTGACTGTTTTGTAATAGTTTGCTTTTCTTCTGGGCTGAAATGCAGAATAGTCAATATGGCAGTTAGAGTCTGCTGGCGACCAAGAGAATCTGGCAGCGTCAAAAATCTATAGACAATGTTCTTGAGGTATTCCAGGTTGGCTCCCTCTCTGCTCTTATCTCTGAAGTTCTTCTCAATTTCACTTTGAAGTGCGGATATCTCCTCCCGGTGCTTCTCCTCCTCAACCAAGATTTTTTCCTGGAGCTGGTGAACTTGCACTTCCAGCTTGTGCTTCTGCTTCCTCAGCGCTACAATTTCCACTTCTTTGCGAGCCAGCTGCTCTGCATACAAGAAGAAGGTAGGCTCACTGGTGGTGGAGAGATGAAGAGCCTGGGGGAGAATCTCTGAGGAATTGTTACCTGGTGAGTCATTGCTAGTAATGTCAGTCCCTGACACTAGGTAGTTTTTGGATCCTTGAAGCCCGTAAGGCAACGTGACAGCTCTCAGCTGCTCCAGCTCTTGGTCCTTTTCTGCCAGCACCGCCAGGGCTCGGTCCCGCTGTTTGTGCATCTCCTCCTCCAGCTTCAGCGCCCGTTCCCTGTAGTCCAGCTGGCATCGCTCTAATTCCTGCCTGTGAATTTGCTGCAGCTGGGACAACTCTTGCTTCTTGGCTTCCATGTCTTGCTGGTGCTGCTTCTCCATTTCATCAGAGGACAGCTGAAGCACCACGTATTTCTCTTTCAGGTCAGCCAGCTGCTCTTGAGCTTCTTCCAGTTCTTTAGCCAGATTGCCGTCTTTGGCCGACTTGTTCTTGAGAACCACTTGTGCCCTCATCTTGTACCTTTCAAACTCTTCCTTCAGCTGCTTCAGCTCCTGCTGATAGTACAAAGCAGTGGCCTTCTCACCGTCCCCAGCCTCAGTGCCCTTTGGCAGCTCCAGCTCACACAGCTTCTCGATGTCCAGAGCGGGTTGACTCTTCTTAGCTGCTGCCTGCAAGAGCTTTTTCAGCTTCTCCATTTTATCCTTTAGAACATTAACATCAAGATTGGCTTCTTCTATGTGAATATCAACAGGCGACCGGCTGGAGGCAGCGATGGCCAGGGTTTTGTTCTCCAGGTCCAACTGTACAATGCGGTCCTTTAGCTTCTGAATGATCACTTGGTCTTTCTGCTTGGCTTTTTCATAAGTCCCAAGTAGTTCTGACACTTCGGAGACTTGGCCCTCCAAGTCAGCCACTCGCTGCTCCTCCATCTGGGCGTGCTGGCGGAGCTGCTCCTCTGCCTGTGCAGTCTGAAAGCAGAGAGACACAGCAGGGTTACATTAGCTCAACTCTCTGGGCAGGAGGTCTGTGGTTTACATGGGGGCTTAATTCTGCTCTGCTGAACTCCAAACAAGTGCGGGGCCATCCTTTCGCCTAGAATCCCATACAAACCATGACACTGACTTGCCTTTTTGGATATCTGTTTATTTGGGGATAACCTAAAAGCATTTCTGCTTTTGTTCCCTGCTCTGCAGAGTTCCTGTCACCAGCATTATCTGTGTTGCTGTAGGTATGCGGGGGTGGGAAGCAGCAAACCCACGTCAAAATCTGCTACAGGATTTTTTTAAAATGTGCATGTGCTCTAAAGCTTTCACACATCTAACTGCAATTTACCTAAATCCTATATTTTGTTGCACCAATATTAATATAATTCAGTGGTTTCTGAGTAGCTACAACAAACCCCTGGTGTTCACAGTTTTTACAGCTATTGAGATCCAACTGACTCGACAGTCACCACTGTGAACTAAGACACAGCCGGAGTCAGGTCACCTTCACCTCTGTCAGAGAGAAGCTGTTAGAGGTCACTTCAAAAAAAAAAAAAAAAAAAAAAAAAAGGCAAACTGCATTAAACCAGCCCGATGCTTCAGATTAGAAAGAAAACTTGTTCCAGAGTGCAAGGAGATGAGGAAGATCCCATTCCAGAGTGTTTCCAGATGCAAATTTGGTTACTGGTGCCAAACCCCCAATGCCAACCCCTGAGCACGTTGCCCTACAACCTGCAGAGTTACACAGGTTCCTCTTTTCCGCCACATCCCTCTTTCTAGCTCTTCCCCCTGCATGCACACGGGCTAGAGCCTTCCTCCTGTATTTTCCTTTCTTCTTTCCCTAGAGCACTCCGAGTTTCACTGAAGAAGGTTAGTTTTTATGAGCTCCTGTAATGGTACCTTGTATTGTGCTTAGATACAAGACAAGACACACTCATTGCCATAGTGGGGCAGCAGAAAGGTCTCTCCTCCCAAGCTCGGCCACCGTCACGCCAGAGGGTAACGTGTTCAGAACCAAGTGACACTGTGGAGGAGTCACTGTGTAATCACCTCAAAGGTTGCTCCCAAATCCAAAGGTCACCACCCCCTGATTAATGACTTATACGCTGTATCATAAACAGCTTTTATTCTCCTCTGGGACTATCATCCCATCAATCAAAGCCATGATACTTTCATCTATTTCAAACCTCTTGGACTCTGCAGGACTGGGAAGGAGAATTTGTGCTCCTCCAGCCTCAAACCCTGCCCCAATTGCTGCCGATACATCCCACAGAGTGAGCTGCTCCAGGGCCCATACAAGGCATTACCTTCTTCATCTCTTGTAACAGCTGCACTTGGAAGTGGTTCTTAAGGCTGGCCATCTCCTCCTGCAGATCCTGTATCCGGGGGTCTGGCTTGTTGTTCTCCTCCTGAACAGCTTGCAGCTCTCTCTTCAAGTCTTCTACCTCCTGGCTCAGCTGCTTGATCTGCTGCTCATACCCCTCGGCACGGTCAGCCATACACACCCTCCCGGCCAACACCTCCCTGGTCTCCTCCAGCTTCAGCTCTGCATCCTGGCGCAGAGTCCTCTCGCTCTGCAGCAGCTTCTGTAGCTCTCGCAGCATAACAGCATGGTCGCTCTGTTCCTGGGCTCGGTCGTGCTGCTGCGTGATCAGACGGGCTTTGGTCTCGGCTAGCTGTTCCTGGACAGACTTCAGCTCTGTCTCCAACTTCTTGGTCTCGTCCTCTGCTTTCTTAATGGCATCATCCAGGTCCTGCTTCATCTTCTTCTTGTCTGCTTGGTATGAGGCTTCCATGCGGGACTTCTCCTGCGTGACTGTTGACAGAGCACTGGTCAAAGTGGCCAGCTGGGTCTTCAGCTGGAGCACTCTTTTATCAGCCTCACCAGCAGCAGATGACACATCCCCACTGCTCGTGCTGATGCCACTCTCTGAACCGCTCGTCTCTTCTGATTTAAGAGAGGAAGCGGCGGCCGTGGGCTTATCATCCTCAGGCCCTGGCTCACCCTTGGTACTGGCCAGACTGGCAGCAGTGTCTGCACTGGTAGCTGTCCCCACGCTATCTTCGCTGTGAACTGAGCTCCTGTCATCAGCAGAATCGGCAAAGGAAGAACTGGAGCTAGCCACAGACGCAGGCTGAGCACTGCTCAAGCCAACATCTGCCTCATGAGACACGGACAACACTTTCAAGCTGGCTTCCAACGCCTCCTTCTCTTTGAGTAGGCTCTTGTAGGCTCTGACGACATCCTTCAGCCGAACCTGGTACTGAAGAAGCTGCTTTTTCTGTGATTCGATAGTCTCCAGAAGATCTTTTTTACTCGGGCCACCTCCAAAGTTCATGCCAAACTTCTCCATGATTTGTGCAACCTGAAAGGAGAAAAACAGCACAAAGGCTAAACGAGCAGCAGAGACACATTTGCAATAGGCAGGAGCAGGCGGCTAAGCGGGACCACCACCCTGAACTCCCCCAGGACACCACGCAGTTAACAACTCTGCAATGCATCTGTCACCGTGCACCGAACCCTGCGCAGGTCCTGCTCTGAGGGGAAACTCCTGCTATGACTCGGATGCCTCAAGTGCCTCAGCCAGAACCAGAGAGAACTCTTTAACACCTCGTACAGCGATACACGCCACTGCAGCCGCTCCCCCTCAGGTCAGTCAGGGGGGCTTACGCCTCTAAATGGCTCCATTTTTCCTTTTCAAGAGAAACAGCCCCTTTGCCTGTCCCTTGGCAGCACAGCTGCCGGCCGTGAAGGTAATCCAACCGCTGCCAGCTCTGGGTGGGGGGCCCCAGCTCTCGGGGGTCCCCACGGCAGAAGGCCATGG